AGAACCCCCAGGAATAAGTGTGAATGACGCCCCACGGCGCCCCCAGAAGTGTGAATGACGTCACACAGAGCCCCCCCCCGTAAGTGTGACTGATGCCTAGCAGAGCCCCCTATGAGAGTGAATGACGTCACACAGAACCCCTCAACAAGTGTGAATGATACCTCACAAAGCCCCCAGTAAGTGTGAATGACGCCCCACAGAGACCCCAGAATAAGTGTGAATGACGTCACGCAGAGCCTCCCATAAATGTGACTGACACCTAGCAGAGTGAATGATGTCACACAGAGCCCCCCAAAGAAGTGTGAATGATACCTCACAAAGCCCCCAGTAAGGGTGAATGACGCCCCACAGAGCCCCTAGTAAGTGTGAATGACGCCACGCAGAGCCCCCCTGGAGTAAGTGTGAATGACACCCCACAGTGCCCCCCAGTAAGTGAGTGACGTCCCTCCCCAGAGCCCCCAGCCAGCGGGCAGCACCTCTCCTTCGGTGCGTCTGAGCTCCGGGGACAGGGAGCCCCTGAGCGACAGGGGGACCCTGTCACACAGCCACTTTTTTTTTTTTTAAGATTTATTTTTTCATACAGAACTGGGGTGCAGGCCAGAGATGCGGAGGACGAGAGGGTTCCCCCGAGACAGAGTGGGGAGCAGAACAGGCTGACGCACGAAGCCCATGGCTGAGGGGGCAGTGGGGGGACAGGAGGGGTCTGCCGCGCCCTGGGGGTCCCCTCCGGGGCAGGCGGGGATCGAACACGCGCTGACGTGGCTTTAGCTCCTCAGTGCTGCGCTTCGCCCCACTGCGCCCCGGGGGGGGCCCCCACAGCGACCTTTACGGCCAGGTCCCTGCGTCCCCAGAGCCCGGCGGGGGTGTCTGGAAGCCCCGTCAGGGCACCCCTGGACAGCGGAGGCCCGGGAGCCCGTCCCAGCCCTTTCCCGGGAAGGTCAGTGTTTCGCTCCATCGGCCCCAGCCCCAGCGCAGGGCTGGGCCGGACGGGGCCTCGGGCCGCCCCCCACCACCCGGGGTGTCACCCGGGAGCCCCGACACGCAGGGCGCGCCGGGCCCCGCACGGTGCCGCTGCTTTACTCTGGGCCCGCCAGGAACGTTCCCCCGGCCCTCCCTCACCGCGTCGGGCTGGGCGGCAGCACCCCGAACCCCGCTTGTTCCAGGCGTTGTGCTCCGTCACGGCTGCCGCCTCCCCCCAGCTTCCGCGGGGCTTCCTGCCCGGCTCTTTCGCAAGGCCGCCCTGCCGTGCGCTCCTGGCCCTGGGGGGCCTCGGTGCTTGCTTGTCCCTTCTCCAGGGCCTGCTGCTGGGGAGCCCTCCCGCGTTCAGACCTGGGGCACTCGCCCCCCACTGTTCTCCGGGGTCCTGCCTGGGCTTTGCGGCTTGTGCACGGATCCTTCTAGACTGCGGCGTGGACAGGCGCTTCCGAAGCTGGGGAGCTCCAGGTCCCAAGGGCTTGGCATCGGGGCTGGAAGGAGGCCAGGGGGCTGTGGGGCTGCAGAGTTTGGGGGAACGCGAGCCCTCTGCCAGGGGGGCCCCCTCTGGGCCCCGGCGCTGGGGTCTGTTCTTACCCACATATTCTGGGAGTGCAGAGTCAGAACTTTTTACCGCCGGAAAATGCACATGTGACTGTCCCCCCTCCGGCCCCGCCAGCACCCCAGAATTGAATAAACAAGCACGCTGTCTGCACCACGACTCCGAAGAGGAACCAAACTGCCGCAACGGAGTAGGGGTCCCCGCCCGCCTGAGCTGGCCCTCACTGCCTGCTCAGCACAAGGGGCTCCCGGCTTTCAGCCGGAGAGGCGAGTTGGCAGGGCTTCGACGCGGTGCCCGCCTGACCGCCGGGCTCACACGCCTGTCCGCCGCGGGTGACCCGGCACGGGCTACCTCTTGGGGAGGGGGGAGCCCTGAGGTTGCTGGAATTTCAAGTCTACAGGAACAGACGGAGAACAATGAATAGAAACGCTTGTGCATTCAACTGCAGAAATCTCAAGGCCCAGTTGCTTTGAACGTAAAATAATGAGGAAGGAAACAACAAATATTCCGCGTCCCCACCAAAGGGCAGAGATGACCCAGGTGCCACCCAGATCCGAGCCCGCGTGTGGGAAGCCAGGCAGGTTTCCTCTTGGCATGACTCACTGTGGGGGTGCCAGCGCCCCCACACCCCAACTTTTTTTTTTAAGATTTAGTTGTTGATGCAGACAGAGCTGGGGTACAGGCCAGAGGCACAGGGGCCGTGGGGAGATGTGAGATCTCCTTAGCTCCCCCCCCCAACCCCCATGATGAGAACATCGGTCCCTCGGGAGTTTGCCTTTATCAAGTCCTGGCAAAACTGTCCCCCCTTTTCTGTTGCAGCAAGGCGGAAGCCCACTCTGCTCTCCTCAGGACTGGGAGATGAGAAACCCGCCGCGCACATGTGAAAAACAAAGTATAGAAATAGTACACACATCAGAAAAGGGGGGGGGATAAAATAACATAGCTCCCAGCAGGCCTTCCCCGACACCCCCACCCTCGCCCCCACCCTGCCCCCCACCGGTCCACCGGTTCCTGCTGCCTTTTTCTGAAAGAGCCCAGGGCAGTGGGGGTCCTTCCTCAGCTCTGGGGCTGTACCCCGGTCTGGGGGGCTCCCAGAGACCACCGTGTGCCTGCCACCCCTCCACCCTGGGATCAGAAGCCTTCCCACTCAGAGCAGGGCACGGACACCCCACCTCTGGCGCTGGCACCCCACGGGGCAGCGCTGGCCCCAGTGACCCAGACTGTTCTATGGCGATTTAGCGCCTTGCCCCGGCCTGGGCGCCAGGGCCGGCCGCTCGGTGCCCAGAGCCTGGCACTGCCCCCCTTCCCCATGGCAACCGACGGGGCCCACCGTTTGTGGTCTATAAATAACACGTTTGTGAAATCACAGAGCCCCAGAATGTCAGCGCCAGGAGGAATCGGCGAGAGGTGCCCCTGTCTCGTCTTCCCCAAACAGGGGCGCCAGCGGCGGCGTCAGGGACGCCCCGAGTCACGCAGCGCGGGGAGCGCCCAGCCGTGCGCAGCGCCCCGCGCCG